CCCCAAAACCCCAAAACCCCAAAACCCCTCATCTTTTAAAATAAACTTCTCATTGCAATATTATATTGTTTAAAAAATAATTAATAGACTTCAATGGAAGGTATTATAAATCTAGAGGATATGTTTGATTAAGATGATTTGGAGCAGGAGTGTATCAAAGAGTATAATCTTGGTTAAATAAGTCTGAAAATTAAGTCTAAATCTATGCACATAGGAGTTTCAAGGTCAGTCTGGAAAGCAAGCTTGGCTCTTGCTCAATACTTAAATACAAACTCTGATAATTTTGATGTGATGAAAGAAAAGCAATTATAGATATTGGAACTTGGATCTGGTCCTGGATTATCTGGCTTTTATGCCTCAAGATATTTTAAAGATTCAAAAGTTTTTCTCACTGATATCTGTATAAAGAGTCTAAATCTTATAAAGGAGAACATAGATATAAATAAGGAGGTACTAAATTAAAATCAGTTATCAGTAGATTTCTTTGAATGGGGTAATTTCACAAGGTCATCTGAGAACGAGGAACATTATTAAAATAAGGATGAGTTTCCTACTAATTATGAGGGTTAATTTGATTTAGTAATTGCTTCAGATGTAGTGTATATACCTGAATTTCTTGATCCTTTACTAAAGAGCATATAATATTTTATAAAACCCTAATCTGGTAGATGCTTATTAGTCAACAACAAGATTAGATAAGATTTATTTATTGATAAATTCGATTAAATGCTTTTGGAAAACAAATTAGATGCTTTCGTTAATGAAGAATTTGATATGGATGAAGATAAATTTAGAGTTTTTATTATGAGACTAAAAGACTGATGTAAAGAACTTACATTTCAATTCAACTAAGTTTCTTTCTAATATCATCTGCACTATTAAGTATTCATAATTATTAAGTGGCCAATGACAGTAATAATCATGAGAGCTTCGCAACATCATTATGTTTTTATATTTATTATAATACTTGAATTTTATATTTTCTACTATAATTTAAGATTCTTTAGTCCATGGGGTTTTGGGGTTTTGGGG